TGGTTGGAGCTTGTGAAAGATTATGATTGCACTATCCAATATCATCCGGGAAAAGCAAATGTTGTAGCAGATGCCCTAAGCCGTAAGGTGAAGGGTGGGTTGGCCTGTTGTATCACTCAACAGAATCAACTTATTAAAGAGTTCGCTAGGACGCAGATTGAAGTTGTCAAGAAACTTCCTAAGGAGATTACGGGAAGTATTAACTCAATGCGGGTTCAGCCCATGGTGAGAGATAGAATACGGCGAGAACAATCTTTCGATCAATTTATTCGAAAGATAGAAGAAAAAATTCAGGCTGGAAGAGTAGAGGGTTTTTACCGAGGCACATATGGAGCCTTGGAGTTCAGAGGCAGAATTGTTGTGCCGAAAGTCGAGGCCTTGCGAAAGGAGATCTGAACAGAAGCATACATTGCACCATATTTAGCTCACCCAGGAAGCACCAAAATGTATCATGACTTGAAAAAGTCATTTTGGTGGAGAGGAATGAAGAAAGATGTAGCAGACTTTGTAAAGAAGTGTTTGGTCTGTCAGCAAGTTAATTTTAGCTGAGCACAGGAGTCCATTAGGTCTGTTGCAGCCACTTGAGATTCCTAAGTGGAAGTGGGAAGAAGTTACCATGGACTTTGTTACAGGGCTACCTAAGTCATCAGAACAACATGATGCGATTTGGGTAGTAGTGGACAGATTGACGAAAGTCGCACGTTTTATGCCTATAACAATGACCATGTCGATGGATAAGTTAGCTGAAATATATACCTGTGGAGTTATTCGATTTCACGGAGTGCCAGTTACAATCATATCTGATCGAGATCCAAGATTCACCAGTAGATTTTGGGAGAGTTTGCATGAGGCAATGGGCACGCAGTTAAGTTTTAGTTCGGCTTATCATCCAGAGACAGATGGCCAGTCCGAAAGGACGATCAAGACACTCGAGGATATGCTCAGAGCTTGTATTCTGGATAGAGGCGCCAAGTGGGAGAAATTGTTGCCATTATTAGAGTTTCCCTACAACAACAGTTACCATGCCTCGATTAAGATGGCTCCCTACGAAGCACTTTATGTGGCCGCAAGTGTCGTTCGCCCCTTTATTGGGACGATGTTGGTGAGAGGCGAGTACTTGGTCCGAAGATGATCGAAGAAACCGTTGAGCAATTAGCCTAGATTCGAGAAAGGCATAAGACTGCTCAGAGTCGGCAGAAGTCTTCAGCTGATAAGCATAGGCGAGAAATGCATTTTGAGGTAGGAGATAAAGTCTTTCTGAAGGTTCGACCAATGCGAGGTGTCGTTCGTTTTGGGAAGAAAGGTATGTTTCATCCTCGATATATATATATACATATATCCGTTCGATGTTCTTGAGCGAGTAGGAGAAGTATCCTGTCGATTAGCTTTACCTCCCGAGTTATTCAGTGTGCATAATGTATTTCACATATTGATGTTACATGCATATATGTCCGATCCAGATCATGTGCTTCAGCACAATAAGATTCAGATTCAGCCAGAATTAACTTATGAGGAGCAACCAGTAGCAGTTTTGGACCGAAAGGTTCATAGGCTGAGGAAGCGAGATATTCCCCTCGTTCGTATTAAATGGAATCGTCACGGAGAATCAGATGCAACTTGGGAGCGAGAAGCTGATATTAGAGCTCGTTTTTCAGATTTTGAGTTTTGACATATACTCTAAAAGTATGTATTTCAGTTTCAGTATTTCCGAGGACGAAAATAGTTTTTAGGAGGGTAGTTTGTAATGCCCCATATTTTAGTAAGTCAGTAATTTAGTACAAAGTTAGTCGATAAA